TGATGATGCTGATGACTGTACCATAACCTACTCTGTTTCCTGTCCACGTAAACGTAGGTGGAGAGAACTTCTGTGTTCCAGCAGACTTCACTTCTCAATCCTCACTCATCGAGAGAGGAAATCCCTCCTCCCCCACCTCCATCCCTTCCTTCCTCCTTTCCCTCCTTCGTTCCTACCTCCCTCCATGTGTGCACAAACCCGCCTTCAATACAGAGCTACAACTCACCTGGTGTCTCCCTTCTCCTCCCACCCAACTGCTCTCACTGCTTCCACTGCTGATCCTAGTCCTCACTCCCAACCCATCATGCCAAGGTGATATGAACAACAATCTGTGGCAATTAAAACAAATGCCTGTCTAAGCACAGATTGTGTGCATGCTGAAAGTCTAACGCAGCGTCGCACTACTCCTCATCCCATTTGTTCACCATCAATCCCCACTAACACCTTGCTCCAAGTAAGTACGTCGAAGAAGTGACACCACCGAAACACCCTCCCCATCTTCACATCTGGTCAATTTCCTAACCTGTGCATTTAGCAAAGCATACCGTTCACCAGTGGACATGCACTGATTTCTCAGTACAATTGCTGACACACAAAGTGACGAGTGGACAACAAATTGTCTCAGTAGAGTAGGCTCGTCAATGTCCACTTCCATGTTACGTCCTAGCATCAAGGTCATTCACCTCGAGCCACCATCAATTGCCATCAAGCCATCCGTTTCCAAGTGACGTGGATACACACATGACACCTCATTTGATTTGTGACCCCGTAGCACATGCGGTCAAATGCATTTAGGCCCACACCACCGTATTTGAGGGAGAGGCCAGACGAGACAGGAGGAGAGGAAAGGAGAGGAGGTGTGTGCACTAGTGATCGGTGAATTCGGTGACAGTTTGACATACGCTGATTGGGGGTCAATGCCTCACCATGGTTTGCCCTCAATTCGGTTTCGATGCAACCGAGAACACCAAATGCTCGCTTCTGTTGCAACCTCTCAATCTCCAATGCAGACATGACTTGTGGCACAATTCATCGTCGAACACATCCAACTTACAGTGGGGGCACGAAGATCACCCCACATTCACTTGTTTACCTCCTCCTCCTCCTCCTCCTCCCCCTCCCCCTCCTCCTTCGCTCAAGTACTGAGGTCGAGTTTACAGTGAGAGGAGATCGGCGTCCTGAAGAACCGCTTACTCGTCAGAGGAGAGACGACGACGACGACGACGATGCGAGGAGTGGAGGAAGGAATGAATTTTACTTGGAATGTACTGACTGACTGGCTAATGGGGGAAAGGATAAGCCATTGCTGATGTGCTTCCTCACTTCCGCTTATGGCGACCCCGATTATAAGTCCTATCGACAACAACATCAAATGTGCCGACCCACCATCTTGCTGTTGCCAACTTCTCCACAGTCGTTCACCATCATCATCATCATCGTCACTATTATTATTATTATTATTATTATCATCAACCACATCTACCTCTTCCCACCACTTCTTCCTCATCTCCTCTCCCACTCGTCTCTTCTCTCCCCCACAGACGATTCCTTCTTCACTGCATCGTTCGCAGACCATCTGCAGACTTGACTCCACTTGACTTTGCATGAGAGGAGGTATGTGACCATTGCAAAGTACTCCAATGAGATGGCACACGTTCCCATGTAGAGCAGCTTCCACTCCATTCCAACGCACTCACACAGCCACTCACCCATCCACTTACCTCCACAACTCCACTTCACTCGGTGAACATCCACCAACTCGTGTTCTGTCGACATGGGCTTTGACAATCCTCCCCATATCTCGGAATAGTGTCAGATTTGGATGCACATGAAATGCCGCGACAACTTCCACTTTCCCATTTCTCTGAGTTTCAACGCCTCCCTCTCTTCTTCCACGATATACTGTTGGCACACGACATACGTTTACTATGGAACACCGTCCCCATCTAACTCGTTCTGCCACACCATTTCCTCACACCATCATCCGCACCTGTGTTCATGGACAAGTCCCATTTCAGCCGACCTCTCCAACAGTTGTGGCATTTGATGTTGGTGATGTTGCTGCTTCAAAGGACAATACATGGCTGATAGCACAACATGTTCACCAGTTGTACCTTGTCTCGATGCTCTAACCACTCCTTCAAGTCACTCAGCTCAATCAAGTGATGAAAGCTCCGTCACTTTCGCAGTGCTGTATATTATCAACTCCTTGGGTGTAACTCAACATCAGTGCTTTTCAGCCAACATAAAATTCTTGGACCAGTTGAAAGCAGGCCTTCCAGATCCTGGGAAGTCGCTTGCGCTTTTACGAGATTGTGCTATCACTTGTGCACGT